GAATGTAGGCTATTCATTTGGTGAATTTCAAGATCTTAGCTTTTATAAACTCAAAATCTTTTTTTTCTTTTTTAACATTGATCATATAATGATAATAAAGTCATCCAAAAAGATTGGAAATGAAAAGAATCCGTCTAAAGCTTAGATCTAAGCATCTCACCAAAATAAACGGCCTACGTTAATTGGGCTAAGAAAATACTTTTTAGGTTGTGTTTTCAATTTTTTCTTTTTTTGTGATTGTTCATTAGAATGAAAAGAGTATATTTCTAAATTTGGATCAAACAAATGGCCATAACATGGTTTTTGAAGGTTGTTGCATTATATTATGATGCAACCGTTGCATGAAATCATTGCTCATATATATGTATATATATATATATATATAAGAGTGAGAGAGAGAGAGTATATCCAATCCACACTTCACCCATCCCGGCAGGTTGGGTCCTGTTCACGTTCGGGGCCGATATCTGCCGGCTTGGGATCGACTCAACCCTTTTTGAGCCCTGAAGCCATGAGAGAATAATCTCAACTCATTTGAACATGCAATATAGCATGTGACTATCTTACTTGGAATCAAACATATAATGTGAATTATGGCTGTGGAGTATATTGGTTTCTCTAGTGACAACCCCAAAGCATCATCTCATTTCTATTCTTTTGGACCTGGACTTGCATGTCAAGTGTGCATGTGGATGTCTTTTGATGTTTCTGATTCATTCCTCTTGTTTTTGATGTATTATATGGCTTTGTACCATCTTGCTTATTGATTCCATTTTCTTGTGATAATTTTGCATTCCATTTTTGTGATAAGTTTGATTTGTGAGAAGTTTGTGCTTAATTTTTTCTTTTAATATTAAGAGTAGAAGATGGCAATTTAATCTTCGATATGGGCCAAACCATCACCTGCATGTTGGGTTTTAATATGGTGAACAGTAAGCTAGGAATTTGAATCTTGGAGGTGAATTGAAGATCTCCGTTCACTAGGCTACATAGCTGAATCCATTTGGAATGTTGCATGTTATTAGCATACAGTTCATGTTTAAACATGGGTACCACTTAATCTTCGTGACCTAGCCAAAAGAACCATATTCTCTTATGAAGCATATTGCACATTTGTGCCAAATGCAGCATACTTTGTTTAATTTTATTATATCTTATTGTTCTTTTTCCTTTTTTTTACTGTGGCAGTGATTCCAGTTGCCGAAGTGATAAGAGTTCGAACAGGTCTGACTTTGACCAAATAGTCATAGATTTTAATGGAAAATAAGAACATGGTCCTTACTCCATGAATGAACATGGGTTTTTACATTAACATTTGTTGTCAAATGAACTGTTTCTTTTCACATTGGAGTAACTAGGATGATTTCTTTACCCAAAAAAAAGTCAGATGATTTTAGTTGCTTGGAACTATATTTGTGTATTGGGGACATTTTAGATGGTTGTGTTTCTCAAAAAAAAAAAAGAAAAAAAAAGGAGGTTTTCATTGGGAGATTAATTGCATTTCAGGTGAACGCGGGGAGAAGGCGGATAGAATGATGGGAGGGCGCTCGGATTTGATTTCATCTGCTGCTTCTGCTTGATCTGCTGGCAATTTGCGATTAAGTGTAGGATTACAATGCCATTTTATCATATGAACTTCTCTGTTATCTCTATCCAGTAATATTTTTTTCACTTATGGTGCTTTGACACAGCTGTGTTTTCAGATGCTTTTGAGAGAGTGAGAGAGAGAGAGAGAGAGGATTACGGTTGCTGCTATATCTATTGCTAGAAATAAATAGTGATAGTGGTGCTTTTGTCATGGTTGAAAAGATTATGATAGTTGCTACCAATTCTTGTTGGAAACAACAACAATAGGGGGTCTTTCTTCCCAATGTAATTTTTGGGAAACTGGAATACCACTCCTTGTCAATCATATCCCTCACATGAAACCAGTGTTTCGGTGGGCGGATAACTCACCTGTAGATTCGTGTTGGGTCTCTGGAAATGCAATCCAAATTGGTTCCGGATCGGTCTAAATAGGTGATCTAGATAAATGTTAAAAAAAATGAAAATTAAAATAGGGATTTATATGGTAGGGATAGAGAGGGGACCTGTAGGGGATTTAGAGGGAAACTATTCTGAGATCCATTACCATCTTGAAGCCAGTTCGGTCTTGAATAATTCCTATGCACTTTGAGAATTGCTGGGGTTTAAAAACACTGCATGAAACAATCAATTTTATTTGAGAAAATGCATATAATAATGGGAAAAATCACGTAATGCCCTTTACGTTTTCTTTCTCCTCTGTTCCCATGTACCCTCTAGCATTTTTTTTGTTTGGATTTCTTTATCATTTCTTCCCATATCATGGAAAGGAGAGGGTGAGATAAGATGAGATCAGTATTGTCGTATTCACTTCGCTTCAGCCAAAGATGCTGAAGTTTTCGGATTTAAAGCCTAGACTAAAGCGAAACGTGGAGCGTGGTATTGCCGTTTCACTTCGCTCAGATTTGGGTCAGATTACGGCCTAAGTAAGAAATATTTATATAAAATTAATTTTTTATTTTTTTGAATTTTTTATTTTTATTTTTTTGAATTTCTTTTTAATATTTTTTATATTTATATTAAATTAATAACAAAAGTCTGCAGTCTTTCTCTTAATTGGCCGTAGCATTGAATTGTTTTATTTTTTTCACCAAACATAAGAAGACTCCGAAACAAATCGGACAACATAAAAGGAAAGAATAGGGAAATTGTGAACCCAAATAATAGATGTGGGGCCTTTCCTGACTTTCTTTTTCCTGTTTTAACACAGCAAAGGGAGAATACTGTTGGGGTTTTAGAGAGTCTTTTGCGCGTGAGAATTGGAGTAAACGGACACTAGACGGCATTTTAAAGAGCCACTTAACACTATAAAAAGCTTCTACTTGTTTTCTCTCTTAATTCTTTACTCATTTTCTCTCTATAAAATCATGTCCACTTTCTCAGTGCTTTGTATGCTCGCCTTTTTAGTGTAATATTGGTGTCATTATCTCATGATCTTTTGTTTTAAGATATCCCAAGGATTGATTTGCCCGGTCTATTTTTTTGTGTATTCATTTATATTAATAAAGAGGTAACATTGAGAGAGCACTCTTAGCATGCTGAAAACATGAAGGTCATCTCATTTTTCTTTATATTTACTTAAAGGTGTGGTTTCTACAAGGTTTGAACCTTAAACAATCTAAGTAAGACGCACCTTAAAACTTTATCAAAACATGAAATTTTGGTGTAAAAAAATCTTAGGATTATCTGAAAATCTATTTTCATATCTAATTATAAAATTTTAAAGTTAAAAAATGGTTAAAATCAAATATATCTATAAACATAGGAAAATGTTGAAAATGGACGGTCTAGATAATGTGTTGCAAGATGCACTATTTTTTAGACTCAAAATCTTTTTTTTTTTTTCATATTTATACATCTCGATGTCAAGATAATCAATTAGAATATTTTTTAACATTAAAACAACTTTTTCTGATAGATTTTTGAGGTGCCTATTTAATTATACCATTTAAGGTTTCAACCTTATATAAACTTTTTTCTTATTTAAATCCAACCAGATAATCTAAAATGCAATAACTAACTATGAGATCATAGGTCACAATTATAAGATTTGAAATTTGGAGGGCAAAAACAATGCACAAAGTTCAAGATAAATTTATTGAGCATTATGCATAATTAATGATTGACATACCTTGGAGAAGTGTAAATAGCCTCATCTTATATTCTCTCTTATCTTCTTTCTTCTTCTTCTTTTTCCTCCTCTTCTTTTCTTCTTTTATTTTTTTATTTTTTTATTTTTTATTTTATTCTTTGATCGAGTAATTGAGTACAAAGAGCCAAGACCTGAGAGTGAAAAAAAACGGAACAGAGAGAAACTTAAGTGTTTTTTATTTTTATTATAAAATAGTATAGCCTTTTTGTTTTGACAAGAATCACATTTTCTTTATTGATTCAATCAATTCAATTACAGAGAAATCATTGTAGACCAATTACAATGATAAAATAATGTAACTTTGCCTACAATAATTGGATGGTTTTAGAGAGATTGGGGCACTTGGCCAGGTTTGATGGATCTCCATCCTTGGTTGGATGGGGATGACAATTGTGACCATGGTTATATTGTGGTCATATGAATCATAATATACCTTTCCATCAAACTTTTGATGCGTGGACCCCCCCCTATATTGAGAGATCTGTGTGCCGCACACCACTGGTGTGTATGTATATATAACAGAGTGCTCATCCACTGTTGATTCCAAGTGTTTGATGATGAGATCAACCGTCATGGATGACCATCCAACGTTTAATATCCATCCATGATCCGGGGTGGACTGTGGGGGTGGGTGTACCCCTGTTTTGCACTAGTAATCTATGGTGTGCTCAAGTTTAAAGCCAAAGCAATTGAAAACAGTGAAATTAAACCCTAAGGCATAATATTTAAAAATATTGTTAAAAGTTAAACCCCTGAAATTTTGACTGGTATTTGATTATTTTTTTTAAATTGGTTTTTAATATTTTTTTACCGGGGTGCCTCAATGAGGAGTATACATTTCCAAATTTCATCTCGATTTGATTGTGAGGAAAAGTTAAAAATAGACAAAGATAAAAATCAGCATTTTCAAAATGATCAAATAGTCTACATTATAGTTCACCTAAAATACTATCAATCTCAATGGTCCGATCTCGATCAGACAATTGAGTACATGTTTGAGTAATTCACTTTATTTTTTCTTCTATGCATCAGACTAAACTAATCGCCTTCGTAATCTGATATGATCTTTGTTTTTTCATTGTTTGGAGCAAGAGGGAAAGTTGGAAATTGAGAGATACACACCAAGAAATTCAAGAGAGAGTTCTAACATTCTAGAGAAAAAGATACTTCTTAAGCACGTTTCGATTTTAATCATGTACCATCGTGGTTGTTGTAATCAATATAGACAAGTGTGATAAAATCTTGAATTGGGTCTTGGATCAGGCTTTTTCTGGATCAATTCAGATCAATGCTTCCAATCCAGATCGACTAATTCTCAAAGGTTTAAAGTATTAAAACGTTATAAATAAAAATATGAGAAAGATATACCAGGAATCAGCCAGTTATTTGCTCAGATGGTCAATTAGTCTAATAGAATCGTTAGATATTTAATTAAAGTTTCTGTTAGGGTGGTCACACTATAAAGTAATTTATCATTATACTCAATAAATTTTGGACACTTATATACATTTGTTTTGTACATGAAACATTTTTTTAATAAAGATATTTTTTATAATTAGAAAAGATATAACATCATCCACATAGAGTATGACATCACCCACATCGAACACACTAGTAACATTTAATACTCCATGTCGTTGATGTCACATTCATATAGATGATATCATAAAGAGATAGTAATATGGTTATTGTCCACGATTGTTATCCAAGAGTAGGACAAGCAACTGTTATGTGCAATTTATTACACGACAGACTCCTAATTTTCTCTGGCTGCATGCTACTACACTCGTCCAAATGCTCTACTACTCTCTCCTCTTTCTTGTTATATATAAAGTCTGAGTTAATAGTAAGGTCGAATGGCCTCTCTCTCTCTCTCTCTTTAAAAAGAAGGGCCTCTCTCTCTCTATCTATCTATCTCATTCCAGACTCCCAGGGAAGAAAGTGAGCCTGGCTTCCTTTTGCAATGAAAATTCGGTGATTTTATTCTCCATTTATATTTCTAAAGGGTATAATATTTATATTACTCGTAATATATTTTTGTTTACTTCTATTACTCTTAATATATTTTTGTTTTAATTTTTGGGTGCAGAGCTTAACACTAAACTTTCGTTTCCCGCCGAGAGTTTTCCAAGGATCCACAGTAGGTATGCCACTTCGGTGTGTCAATTAGCAAATCTCTTTAAAGGAATTGTTTGGTTTCAATAAATTTCAATTTTATTTCTTACATATAAGAGGTACCCTGGTAAAAAGCTGGTAGATTTTGTTAAACCCCCTTAATGTATATTGTTTATTCTAAGTTTCATTTAGAGTGATTTACATATGGACCTTAAAATTGTACCTAAAATACTAAATGCTTCATTTATTGGCGGAGATTACAAAGAAGTCGGGGTCAATCTACATTTTTTTTTATTTTTTTCAAAAATTACCCCTCGGTTTGGAGGATCCTCGGACCGAATTTTAATTATTTTTTTAGTTTTTTGTTAGTTTTAATTTTAGTTTTAGTTTTCCTACTAACGAAAAAACTAAAAAAATAAAATTAAAATTCGGTCCAGGATGGAATTATCTGACGAAGGGGTAATTTTGAAAAAAAAATAAAAAAACATGGGTTGACGGACTTTTTTTGTAATTTTCTCATATAAACGGAGGATTTCATATTTTTTTAAAAAATTAGTTCTATACGTAAATCACTCTTGCATTTATATGTATTTTATGTGCAAAAGTCGAAATATCCTGCTAACTTAACGAAGTCACTTTCATTTTTTTTTTTTAACTAGAAATATTTCGATAAATTAAATAAAAAATAAATCAAACGGTGGGATTCAGGAATTTGCATAGGTTTTTCATGACTAATGGAGTAGTTTTGAAATTGTTTTGCAGTTACATGGGTTTTAGTAACCAAGGTCTAGACAAAGTTGACAACGGAACATAACGGGTCTGTTCCTGCTTTATAACTGGTATGGGCGTTACGAGGGAACAAAAGCTGCTTAGGAGGAAAACTGAAAAATGGGTATATATGATGGAAAACAGAAAAAATAAAGAAAAGGAG